CAAGGGGCCTCACCCAGCCTGAGGGGGCCTCACCCAGCATGGAGGGGGCCCTCACCCAGCCTGAGGGGGGCCTCACTCACATGACAAGGGGCCTTACCCAGCATGAGGGGCCTCACCCAGCCTGAGGGAGCCTCACCCAGCATGACAAGGGACCTCACCCAGCCTGAGGGGGGGCCTCACCCAGCCTGAGGGGGCCTCACCCAGCCTAAGGGGGGCCTCACCCAGCCTGAGGGGGCCTCACCCAGCATGAGGGGGGCCTCACCCAGCCTGAGGGGGCCTCACCCAGCATGACGGGCCTCACCCAGCCTGAGGGGGGCCTCACCCAGCCTGAGGGAGCCTCACCCAGCCTGAAAGGGCCTTGCTTAGCATGAGGAGGATCAGTCAGTAGTCACTAGGGGCCTCAGCCAGAGTGACAGGGGACCTCACCCAGCATGGGAGGCCTCACCTCACATGACAGAGGCCATCACCCAGCATGGGGGAGATTAGCCAGTGTGACTGGGAGCCTCATCCAGAGTGACAGGGGACCTTACACAACATGAAGGGGATCACCCAACCTGAGGGGGCCTGACCCAGCCCATTTCCTGCCCAGGAGCCCCAGCCCAAGCCCACCTGCATCATTGAGCCACTTCTCCAGGAGGGGCTTGAGTTTGCACATGTTCTTGAAGCTCAGATTGAGGGCCTCGAAGCGGGAGATGGTCGTCTGGCTGAAGTCATTGCCATACAGCTTGCCCATGGCCAGACCCACATCACCCTGGGCCGAAATGGGGGGCAGATATCAGGGCTGGGCCTGCTGGCATTGGGTCCACTCACACCCACCTGGCGGGGTATCCCCCTGCAACACCCCATCACCCACCCAGCCCAGACCTGCGTGAAGCCCAGCTTGATGCGGCGCTGCTTGAAGGTGCGGGCAAACTGCTCCAGCTCCTCCAGGTCACTGGGCTCCTCAGGATGGGACGGGGGCTCCAAACATTTGGGGGGCTGCGGGTGCGAGAGGTGCGGGTCGGGCAGCGTGGGGCGGGTCACGGCCTGGTGGGGTGGGGAGTGGGTGGGATGCAGGATGGAGGACCTGGATGGGGCCCAGCAATGGCTAGACAGCCTCCTCCCTCCTTGTCCTCCCAGCCCTTTCCTGACCCCAGACCCCAGGAGTGGGAGTCTCTGTCCCCAGCCTGCAGGAGGCACTGCCACTCACTGTCACTCCTTGTCTGAACTTTGACCCCGTTTGCTCACATGGGCAATCTGGAGCCCTTATATACTGTTATTGTTGTTCGGTGCCATCAAGTTGACTGGAACTCAGAGTGACCTTATGAACAACAGATCTGAACCTTGCGCTACCATCCTCATCATATCTCACATGCTCTAGCCCATTGTTGCAGTCACTGTGTCAATATATCTTGTTTCTTGTTAAGATTCTTCCTCTTTTACCCTTCCAAGCATGGTATTCTTCTCCAAGGACTGCTCTCCTGACAACATGCCCAGAATATGTGAGATGGAGTTTTACAATCCTTGCCTCCAAAGAGCACCCTGATTTCATGTATTATCCATTTGGTAAAAGGGTAGTGTGTTCAGACATTTGTTACATGGGTCCTTGACCCCATATCCATAATCGTGGGGCCAAATGTTTCTAAATCAGAACTTTATTTCTTTTAGAAAGCCCACATAAGAGAAACCATAGTCACAAAGAAACTAGTCTATGGGGTTGATAGTCTCCAAGAACCCTGACTTCATCTACCCAGAGACCAGATGAACTAGATGGTGCCCAGCTTCCCTTCCACTGCTCACAGGTCTGACCAAGGCAGCACCCTGATAGAACAGGAGGACAACTCACAACAGAACAATGATTCTTAAGTCAGGGTTACTGGACCAGCTGAGACTTGAGGGCTCCCTAAGATTAACACGCAGAGACACTCTAAACCTTGAACAAAATCGCCCCTGAGATGTACTTTCAATGAAATAGCAGATTGGGAAACAAAATAAGAGCTATTGCCTATTAATATGGTACCCTATTTGTGTGTGCGTGTGTGTGTGTGTGTGTGTGTGTATCTTCAGAAGGCCAGCAATCAGTCAATAGCAAGAATGAAGAGATAATGGGCCAGAGAAACTAGAGTGCTGGAAATGGAACAAACAGAACACAATTTTCACATTGTGGCAAATGTAACTAATGCCTAATGCCACTGGATGATGTATACACAAATTGTCAAATGAAAAGCTAATCTGATGTGTGAACTTTCACTGAAGACATAGAGTATATTATTTAAAAGAAAAAAGAATGCTGTCTCGCTCTATCTCCGGGATCCATGGCCACACTGACGTGAGCAGGTACTGAGGTCTTTGTACCACCAGGAAACTACATAGCTACCAGCGATGTGGCCAGAGTGGCATGAGAAACAGTATAAAAAGCCCACCTGGGCACAGCTCTGAAGGCAAACCCCTTTGGAAGTGCTTCTCATGCAAAGGGAAATGTGTTGGGGAAAGTGGGTGCTGAGGCCAAGCAAGCCAAATTCTGCCATCAGAAGGTATGTCCAGGGGAGCTCTGGTGGCCTAGTGGCAAGGAGCTACAACTACAATCCCAGAGGCGCACGGTTCGAACCCACCAGATGCTCTGCCGGGGAAGGAGGGACAATCTCCTCCTGTACCAGTCAGATCTGATTTGACGGTACACTCACATAAAAATTAAAAAAAAGAAGAAAGTATGTCCAGCTCATCAAGAACGGCAAGAAAATCACAGCCTTCGTGCCTAACGAGGACTTCTTGAATTTTATCGAGGAAAACAGTGACGTTTTTGTTGCTGGGTTTGGTCGCCAAAGGTCATGATGTTGGTGACATTCTTGGAATCCACTTTAAGACTGTCAAAGTGGCCAGTGTATCTCTTTTGGCCTTATACAAAGGCAAGAAGGATCTTAAATTTTGATAAAAATGTCATAGTAATAAGTTTCCATATGCCAGGGGGGAAGAAAAAATTCCTGGTTGGCCTATCTTACACACAGGTCTCGTGAACCCGGCTCCATCTATGTCAAGGGCACCCCCAAATCAGTAGACAAAAGAGCAGCTTTGCCTCAAAGCTCAAGATGAAGAAAAGCCGTCATGCTCAGGCTCATAGCACAGCAAAATGAGTTACAAGAAGTTACAAGAAAAAAAAATGAGATTTTTCAGAGCATTATGAGTTTCAGCTATGCAGAGGATACCTGTATTAGTCTTGAAACTTCAGTCTGTCTGAAATAGTTGATGTACTTTTGAAAGAAAAAAAAATGAGTAGGAAAAAACTTTGAGTTCCGTGAAAAGAAGAGGTAAAAGATCATTATGATTAAACTCCAGGAAGACCCTGGAGGCTGGGCAGGTGGCCGCCCTGGTGGCCTGAAGAACCAGCACCTGTCTGACAGCAGCTGCTGCACTCTTCCCACCAAGCAGATCCAGTCCCTCCTGATTGTCTGGTTTGTCAAGGGAAGCTGGGAAAAACCCCCAAGTCTAGCTCTTTCTAGAATATTTGTTCACAACTCCTTTAATTACAGAAGTATCATGTAGGCCAAATAAAACATGACTCTTAGCCCCACTTCCAATCTCGGGTACAGACAGTGGCCATGAATAAGCACTCAAGAGCCCCCTTCCTCAGAGATCCTTCTAATTAGAGTGCTCAAGGAGACCAGAAGTATCCTTAACCTGCACACTTCCAGACTCTTTGTGCACATGTGCAGTTGAGGGTGAGATAGGGGTCAAGTTCAAGGCTTCCATCAAGGAGTCTACAGCCTGAAAAGAGTAGGAACCACACCCATGTTTATTGCTGCATTATTCACAATAGCAAATAGATGGATGCAACTCAAATGCCCATCAACAAATGAATAGATAGAAAAACTGATACATTCACACATGGAATACTATGCAGCACTGAAAAACAAGGAACTTGTAAAACATTATACAATATGTGTGATCCTGGAGGACATTACGCTGAGTGAAGTATCTCAGTCACAAAAGGACAAATACTGCATAACAACACTGTTATAAAACAGGACTGACACGGGGGGTTGGGCAAAAACTAGGAAAAGAGGGGACAGATAATGAACACTGCACTGGAACAGATGAGGGAAAGAACTGTTTAAAAGGAATATATAATTAGGCATTATTTGTATGGCAACAGTCCAGAATAAGAGGTGCATAGCAAAGTGGACTGGGGGCAGGAGGTGAGGAAACTATCAACAATTAATTTTTTTTTAAGTGAACCGACAGGAGTAGGGAGGAAAATGTGCAACAATGAATGAATGAAAATCCATTTTTTCCATAAACTTTCATTAACATCACAATTTAAAAAAATTTGAAAATAAAAGAAGAAAAGATTAGGAACTCCTGGTTGGTGCCACTGTTACTCCTATAGGGAGAAAGGCATGCAGAAGGCAGCCCCACAGCAAAGCAGTGACAGAGGTGGGCTGACCCCCGGGATGCCCAGCTCGGCCGCAGGTGCCTGTGGGCTGTGCCTATTTGCCAGTGTGCCCGGCATGCCTAGTGTGCTCTGGTGCACAGTCTCACCTGTGTGGGAAGCCCGGCCCGGGGCTGGGAGGTCAGAAGAGCCCCCTGGGTTTGCTGAGGTAGCTGGAATAGATTTGGCGTCGGTAGCAGACCTAAGGAGGGGAGGACAGACACGCAGAGTGAGGGGAAGCTGAGACAAGGTCTGGGGGGCACTTGGGCATCTCTGGGGCCGACCGGGACCTTACCTGGCTGACTCTGCTGGGCCTGCGGCAGCAGGAATTGAGCAGGCGGCTGGAGGTGGTGTCCAGGCACGAGCACCAGCTGCTGGAGCTGGAGGAGCTGCTGTATGTCCTGGCAGGGTGGGGGACAGACAGACGGGATGGCCTGAATCTCAGCCCTGCACCTACCTCTGGGCATCACCCGGGGCCCCGAGGGACTGGAGCCTGGAGGATGCAGTTAAGCACAGGATGGATCATGGGTCTCCGAGCTTTATCTCTGAGCTCAGGGCTCCCAGGAGGCGTCTCCCAGCCATGGGAACAGGAGGCTCCTCTGTGGTCCCGGGAGAGCTCGCTCTCTAGTTACCTTTCTTTTCATGTGAAGACACCTGATGGTCCTTTTCAAACACCCCAGAATGTGGCTACATTGTGGGGATTATATGATAACTAATGTTACATGACAAAACATGTCAGAATAGTGGAAGAGAAACAGATTGCTTTGTGAACTTCCACTCAGACTTTTTTAAAAACAAAAAAACACAACCCTCCTCAGGTGCAAACTGGTGAAATGGCATATATCTAGCTGTGCATATGATCAACAATAACAACAGTGATTTAAACTTTTAAAGGCTGCAGAAAAAGTCAATAGGTTAGCTTAACGAGTAACAAAACGTGAGGAAGTGCTGGTGACAGAGCAGGTGAGGAGCTGTGTGGCCAATCCAGGCAACGTGAACCGTGCAGACAGTTCAAATCCACTAGCGTCTCGAGGAAGAAAGACAGGCAGTCTCCTCCCATGGGATTTACTGGCTCAGAAAAGCGACTGGAGGGTCAACTCTGAGTCTGTTCTGACTTAACAGCAGTGAGTGAGTAAGAAGTCTGCCTTCAACATTTGCTCTTTTAAGAACTATCTCCTTGGGACCCAGGGAGCTCTGGTGGCCCAGTCCGTGGGGAGCAGCGCTGCCAGCCCAAGGGAGGTCCTAGTCCACCAGGGGCTCCCGGGGAGGAAGACAAGCTGTCTGCTCTCATGCAATTTACAGCTAGATGACAAGAACTAAAAATGGCTCTGAGTTGATTCCAGCTCACGGATAGGTGCCACGGGGTTTCTGAGGCTGTCAATCTTAATGGGAGGAGACTGCCTGTCTTTTATTCTGAGGAGTGGCTGGTGGAGCTGAACTACAAACCTTTGATTAGCAACCCAACACATACCCTACTATGCCACCAGGGAAACCCATTCTGTTTAATCGATTCATAAACCCTACTTCTTCCTCCACCATCCCATCCTGGTCCAAGCGTCCCCTCACCTTCCACCCAGATGGTCCACTCTTAACAGGGCAATCAGAAAGCTGTTTACACTTGTGTGCCTTAAATTCTGACAAAATCTGCTGTCCCCTTCTCAGAATGAAAAAAAGAAAATGCATAAAATAAAATATTTAGGGTGTGGCTACTGGTTATGCTTTGTTGTGTATTCCTTCAACAACAACAAAATTAATGAAATTACATAAAAATATATTCTTTCAAATGAAATAAAGTATACTGATGTAATTAGTTACCAAACCTATTTCACACTGATGTATTCACTTCTGGGCCGCTTTATCAGCACATTAACAAACTGAAGTAATAGGTCTGATGACTATTGTCATTTCAAAGAACCGTCAAGTACAGACAAGAGGCCTGCATCAACTGTGTCAGGTGACAGATGTGCTTTAGGTTGGAGACAAAGTGCTAGGGCCATTAATATTACTACGGTTCATTGTTTATGTTCATAATGAAAGGAAATGCCACATTTCCTGTTAAGCTCATCCCTATCAAGTTGATCCTGACTCTCACAGTAGAGATACCCAGAGGATTTCCAAGGGGTTCATCTTTAAGAAGTAGAATCCATATCTTTCTCCCACAGAGAAGGCTGGTAGATTTGAAGCATCAACCTTTTGGTGAACAGCTGATTGCTTAAAGACTGTGCCCTAAGTCTTGTTCATTTTCTGCTGAAGAATTTAAAAAAAAAATATATCAAGATGTCATTTATTTTCCTATCCCAGTTCATATGCTTCTTCAGTTCTATCCACCAACCCCAGGAGGGCCGGACTGGGAGTGCTGGGCCGTGTTTCAAAAGAAAACTCATCCTGAGCTCTCCATTGTCTTGCCTACATTGGTCCAGGGCCTGCACAAGCCAGGCTCCCGCTCCCTCTCCTTCCACACTTCCCACGGCTCTGATCCAACCACACTGGTTTCCCTCCCGGTACTGAACCCAGAAAGAAGCCCTCATTTCAGGGCCTTGGCATAGTCAGTTGTCCCTCTAGACCTGCATGTGGCTGATCCCTCCTCCTTATTCATGTCCATCAAATGTTCCCCTCAGAGGCCTCGCTGCCCACCGGTTCTGATGAAGGGTCTTCCTTTCGCACCTTCACTCTCTGTTACGTTTCCTTTCTACCAGTGAGCTCCCTCCTGGCTGCCTCCCCACCTGAAGTGGCTGTCAGCTCCCTGAGGACGCAGACTTGCCTGTTTGTTCCACCCAGAAAGATGCCTGGGCATAGTGGATGACAGCGTAGTGCTTTACATTTTGGGCTGCCAACCAAAGGGGCAGAGGAGATTGAACTCTGCTCTGCTCTGCTCTGAGGGAGAACATTAGGCAGCCTGATCCTGTTAAGATTCTCGATTTTGTAAAAGGGATCACAATAGAAAGTTCTAAGCAGAATAGGGAAAAAGGTGAAACAAAACTCAAAATCATAAAAACGGTCAGGGTTAGGGAGCTCTCGTGGCCTAGTGGCAAGAAGCTGCACTGCAATTCCAGAGGTTCGAATCCACCAGATGCTCTTCTGGAGAAGGAGGGACAATCTCCTCCTGTACCAGTCAGATCTATTTGACAGTATACACACACAAAACAATAAAAATAAATTTTAAAAAATGGTCAGGGCTGCTGCTCCAGTAGAGACTGGTAAACCCCTGGAGCTAACCATCCCTGCCCCAACTTTTAGTCAAACAAAAGAAAACCTTCCCACTGGAAGGTCCTCAAAATCCTACTAGGGGAGAGCTGCCTCCTCAAATCAGATATTGTTGCTGGTGCTGGTGCCACTGAGTCAAGTGCGACTCCCAGCAAGCCTGGAACATAGGGATGGATGAACAAAGACTTGGACTCTGTCCTATCTTGTGCCACTCTCACACACACTTGAGCCCATTGCCACAGTCCCTGTGTCAATCCATCTTGTTGAGGGTCTCCCTCTCCTTTGTTGTCCCCCCACTTTCCCAGCATGATGTCCCTCTCTAAGGAATAGCTTCTTCTAGCAACACGCCCAAAGGATGTGAGACAAAGCTGCATCACCTTTGCCTCCAAGGAGCCCTCTGGCTGCACTTTCTCCAAGACATATCTGTTTGTACTTTCAGCAGTCCATGGGATAGTCTGTGTTATTCTCCAGCACCACAGCTCAAAGGTACTGATTCTATTTCTGTCATTCTCATTCCTTGCCCAGTTCTCAAATGCATACTGATTGAAAAGACTAGGTCCTCAAAGATGACCACCGTCCACTGAGCTGGATCCGTCATGGCTGGCCTTCCAGGGGGCTTTCAGAGGCTGTACACCACAGGAGGAGACTGCCCAGCCGTCCCCTGCAGAGACACTGGGGGCTTCCAGCTGTCAGGGAGGTGCTCAGCTACCTCCAGACTACAGCACCTGACGTGATGTGATTCCAAATGAAGAACCGCTGCAAACATTCAGTAATAACCGGAACGTGGAGTGAAAGGGGACATCATGGTTGGAGAGGTGAAGAGTCAGCAAAAGAGAGGAAGCTCCTCCACCAGGATGGGCAGAGTGAGCTCAGTGGGCACAGCCATCGGCGCGAGGACGCTGCAGAACTGAGCAAGGTTTCGATCTGTCGTACATGGGGTCACTCAGAGGTAGAGCTCACCCAGCAACACCTACCAACTAAAGAGTGTTGTCGATTTGTCCAGAGCGGCAAGGCTGAGGCCAGAGGGCCTACAAAAGCAGCTGCCCTGATGGAGGAATTGTACGCTACTTCCAACCTGAATTATAACCTGTGACTCCTCTAATACTAGAAAATCACCATCGTGGGCGGAGAAAAAAAGGGTTTACAGCCTCAGAAACGCGATGGAAAGCTGCCAGGACCAAGCCTGATTCCGAGATAGTGAATTTGGGTTGTAAGCTTTCTGGGCCGAGGCAGACGCCGACCAGGAGGGGGCGCCGTTCCCCACCACCTGGAGGCCGCGCGCGCTCTGCGGCCGCTGGGGGCCCCGCGGTGACGTTACCAAGTGGAGAGGGTGCGGCCCCTCGCCAGGAAGAGCTGTGACTCCACGGCAGCTTGTAACCTGAGCCAAGCCTGCGCGGAGGGCAGCAGCTCCCGCAACCCTGAGCAGGGCAGGGTCATGGCTGTGTTCTCATCCCTCCCACCCATCACACAGCAAATGATCTCACCGAATAAAAGAGGCAAAACCTCAGGTCTGGCTGTAATTAGCTGAAGCTGGAGCTTTTGGTCATCAACTGGAGGCAGAAGGGCTGAGGGGCACCTTTGTGTGTTAAATGGAGCAACCAAACCTCGGCCTTAGCCATGGCTCCAGTTCGTGAAGACCCTCCACCAGCTTCCAGGCCTCTTAAGTTTTCCCAGGAAGAGACCACAGCAGCTGTCCTGTGGAGCAGCCACTGGGTTCAAACTGCTGGCCTTTGGGTTACCAGCCAGCACTTAACCCATGATGCCAGCAGAGCTCCCCGATACATGGGTGAAAGCAGAGGGGAAGTGTCCAAGTTCTGATCTGGGCTTGGTTCCCCAGGGGCAAGAGAAGCCTCAGGGGAGGACTCGAGTTGGCTTGGGCCCCATGGCCTGACAGCTCCAAAGTGGCCCAGCTGTGCACCCCAGGTGTACGCCTCACCACAGCGCACACCCCTCTGTGCCTCTCATCCCTCAGCAACCGGGTTGGGGTTTGTGTGCAGGTCTGTCGCACTGATGTGGCTATTTCTGATCAGCTCCGAACGCCTGATTCTAACACATATCCAGACCAAGTATGTCCAGAGTGGAATGAACAGGGCTCGGAGAGGCACAGGGACTGTGCACACCAATCTGGGCAGACTGTGCTCTGCAGGGGGGCAGGTTCTTGGGCTCTGGTGGTGGGATGAGCTGTTGGAGAGCACCA